CCGTTCAAGATAGTCGCGGAGATCAGCAAAGGTGCCTACAAGCTCGACCTCCCTCCGCGCTACTCGAAGCTCCACCCGGTCTTCCCCGTTGTCAAGCTCGAGCTCGCCCAGGACGACCCCTTCAACGGACGCCCCGGCTACGACCAGCCCCCTCCGGACCTCGAGGACGGAGTCCCGGAGTGGGAAGTAGAAGAAATCTTGGACGCAAGGGTGAGGTATAAACGGCTGGACTACTTCATCAGATGGAAAGGCTATGACGCATCGCACGACCAGTGGGTCCGCTTCGACCGCGTCTTCGCCCCGGAGAAAATTGCGGAGTTCTATGCCCACGACACATCGCCTCCGCGACCTTCGACTCGATTCTGTTCCGGTCTATGCGTCGAGACACTGCATTCAAAGGGGGGTGATGTGAGGGGAACCTCCCTTTCGGCCCGGAGACGCGTCCGATTCCGGTCCGATTCCGGTTCCGACTCCGGTCCAGCCCTCCATCTCGCCCACACAATCACCGATCCGTCAACGCCCTCCCGACGGTCGCCCTGGGACCTCGCCTGCGACGCCGCCAAAGCCTTCTGTGCCTGACAGCGGCAGTTACAGACAAGCAGTATATAGTCAGCTCCCTAGCAGGCGGACCCTTAGAGTTTCTTCTCTTTGGATCCTCCCCTGCTAGGTCAGCTTCATTTGTATTCGCTTACCAATGTTCACGCTTTGGATCCTCCCCTGCTAGGACCTTGATCTCAGGCCTCCGGGGTTGCCCTTACACCTTGCAGTAGTGATTTTCCAGTGGTCCGCAAAAGCTAGTGTGTTGAGATATTTTCTCTCTCTTGCCTTGTGGATAAGACCCCGCCTGTCCGTTCCAGCGCTAGTATCGGGCCATCGCGGGCCCTATGCACCCCAGTAGGAGGCATGCACACGTGGGAAGCATATGACCGAGAACAACGCGTCGAGCCGTTGCAGAGCCCAACTTCGGCACCAGGGGACTGGGGAGGAGTACTAGGAGGTTAAAAGTAGTGCGGCCTGCAAGGGATGTATAATTGTCCCCTCTGCGGCCAGGAACGGGGCGAGGAGGAGCAGGAGAGGCCAGGGTGTCCGATCACCCATTTGCAGGCCCACGTATATAATGTGCAATAGTATACTATGTACTCTATCGCTTAGATCGTCTAAAAAACTACCTTTCTTCGTGCAAGGAGGTGCTAATGACTTATCGGGCCTGATATGACCCGATTCAAACCCTTGACCACTGACAGCAGCAAGGGACCAAGTTAACGGGCCCTTTCGGTTTCAATCTACCCCGCTTGCTCTGCTTGCGAGCCCGACAATCAATCTATTCTGTTCCAGGCGCGCGTTCCTAGGAGAAGTCCTTGCACAGCCCAACCCGCAGTCTGACAATCCTTAGGTTCGATATTAACCTGATTGAGGTGAAAAACATAAACATAGTTGAAACATTCAATCTTATCCAAACTTACCACGGGTATATAAAACCAAGAGAGTCTACAAGGGCCTCTGTCAGGGGAAACCCTGATGCCGTCACTTGATCCCATCAAGCGCCGCGTCTCCGCACCCTGACACTCTCCCTCCACTGCCTGCACTACATCCCACATCCAGTGATCCCCAGTCTTCGACTTCCCTGGCCACTCCCCTCTGGAAGTCCCTCCGGAATCACCATCAGGGATCACTAATGCCATCAGAGACCTCTCCGGATGTGGACGCACCACTTCCCTCTGAGACCTTGAGCCTATGGCATTCTAGCCTCTCTGGGCTGTCACTTATCAAGGTCTCCCTACAATCTCTATCCGCTGGACCTCTTGGGTATCCCCAACCTATGTCAGCGTTTGGGCTTACGTTCGGATGGCTGAGCTTTGCCATGGCTCTGCTCTCCACTCCGCCACCACGGCCCCCGTCGTCGGGTCTTCCCCTGGGTGAGGCCTACTGCCGTTAAGGCTCGTGCCCACTGCAGCGCCCCAGGCTGCACGCCCTCACACCTCCACCTCTCTGGAGACGTCCGGGGACGTCTCCGAGTGACCCCCTGTTGCTACCCTTCAGTGGTCATGGCTGGCCGCCATTCCCATTAGTCCTCTTCAATACTCCCTGGCCCTTAGGCTAGACCAGACTCCTTCCCTTTCCGCTCCACGCCTTCCCTCTCCGCTTCCGGTTGCCACGTCACGGTCACAAGCGGAGACGCCCAGAGGCAGCCTGGACCTCCCGAAGCCCTTCTTAGGCCTTCTAGGGATGCCTGGGCCCCTCCCTTGGCATCACGGTCCCAAACCTGCCTCTCCGGAGCTTTGAGGGCTACTCGACACTCACCTAGGGTCCATTAGCGACACCTGACTTCTCCAACCCGTCATCCGTCGCTACGCAGTCACTATATCATTACTCCGGTCACTAGTATATAGTAGTGCACCTGGGCAGAGGGCTCCTTGGCTTGTTCTCTAAGGATTCCCCCTCTGCTCAGGACTCTGATTTTAAGCCTCGCAAGGTTGCCCTTACAGCCTTGGTAGTAGTGTCAGCAAGAAATGCAGGCCAGAACTCGGTTTCCTCAGATTGTCCCTGAGGTTCTACCATCTCCGAATCTAAGCTAGAGTCTTTAGTCAATTTAGCCTGATGAATTGCAAGGAGGTTAGCCATTGCTGAGGACATATGCTCTAAATTGCTATTTCCGCAACAGTCCAACCAGTATCAGTAAAAAAAACTAGTCATAGTGGTTGATGCTGAAAGCATATCGATCATGCTGTTCTGACAAAGCTCATATCTACTGGTGTTAACCCGTCTGTTACTGAGGTTTTAAAAGCCCTAAGAGTTAGCCGTTCTGTTCTACTATAGCATTTAAAGGACTTTAACCTTATTTGCAAGTTTTTAAAATTACAAAAGTTAGCACTTGATGTACTAGTTATGAGTATTCTAGTTCTAGTTAGCAATATCTAATTAAAAACCTCCAACAAAATGGGTTGTAAATCCAGCGCCAATGGGTTAAAGCATCAGTGTGGTGTATTAATGGTCTTAACTTTGGCAGCAGCAAGTTATTTAGTAGCTAAAATACCCTGTGTCTTGTTTAAATGCTCTGTAGCATATAGATAGCTACTACAAACTCATTCTCTAAGGTATAGTTATTTATAAAATTGTTAATAGCTTTTTACGCATGGTTTGTAATATTTTCTTTACATTATAAAACTCATAGACATAATTAAATTGCAGGACTCTATATCAGTAGTAACAATAGAGCATCAACTGCTCTAATCGTGTTTCTTACTACGGTCGAGGAGTATGGTAATCCTTCTCATATTCAAGGTGACCATGGTGGTGAGAACAAAAAAGTATTTATCTATATAATTCTCAAGCATTTTTTATGTAGGGCTTATAAGTTTCCTTTTCTTAATAAGTACCGCTTAGAACATTTTAAAGTTTAATAATAAATACTCAGATTAAACAATTGTAGGTTGAAGTTGGTTCATAGTTTGCTTGCCCTTAGTGAGCTTTTCTTTACCAACTAGAAGATCAACATGGCCTTGAACACAGGAATCCGCAACATTTCTGGCTTCTTAATCTGTTATTTCTTAAGACAATTAACAATGACTATAATAATTTCTGTCGACAATTTCAATAATGTGCATCCTAGTGTTATTAACTACTATTACGGTACCCATGGTGCACCTGCCCATTGTTGATCTCATAAAACTAGTACAGGTTAACTGGCTGATAAAGATATCTTAGAGGCAGGATCAGATGTGGAGAGTTATATAAAATCTGACTCGGAGATCAACAATAAAGCCACCAACATTATAGCTGCTGTTGCTGAGATATATAACAACAACTTTTATTATAAACTAATGGCTATTCCAAAACACTCCTGTCTTTTTAGAAGCAACAACCTATAGCTTTTTAATGACGCACTCTATAAAGCAACACAGCAGAATATTATACTAGAAGGCTTAGGCTTACTAGAGAATAAGTAGGAAAATGGTATTTATTTATTATTTGCTATTCTGAAATCAGGTTGGTAAGGGACAAAGGAACTCCACATTGAGCTACTAGATGATATTTAGTAGCTAAGAGCAGAGCTCTAGGGAAGAGCTAGGAGCCCAGGGACCATTCCTCTAGAAAGGAGTCATATCAAAGTTGATACTAAGAAGTGTTTGGCAATACACAGTAAGGAGCTCCCTCCTGGGTCCTGTGGTTGTCTAGGACCGATTGGGCCTGCTATCAAGGGCGTCCGGCAGCGCATCATAATCCCTGATGGCGGGTTATGATGGCTTGATGGCTAACTACAGCGTGATCCGTGATTATATCTCTTCTCTAGGATATTAGTATTGTTGCTCAGTGCCTTGAGCTTGTAAATTATGAGGGCTTGTTAAGCCCTAGGGCTCTAGGGGTGGTGAGGGCCTGATGGGCCGTATAGAGCCCAACAGCCCAACCCGAACTATGACAACTCCGAAGTCAGCATCAACTCAGTGCTGGACTCATATCTTAGTCTGACTTACTATGACTTATATTCTAGAGTAGTATATATACTCAGCTGTATTCTCGCTACTACATTGAATTATCTAGTTATTCTTTCAACAAACCTCCTCTAATCAGAGGTGAAGAGTATTTTAGTCTCCACCTCTAATTAGAGGGGATATGGGTAAGCTATAGAAAGGTTTGAGCAACCCTAAAGTTTAAGTAATGATATAACATTTTTGCGAAATCTTGTGAGCAATATATTTAATTTACAAATGGGCCTGCATACCTACTATCTATAAATCTCAAAGTTATGAATTAAAAAGGCCAAAATTTACCTCAAAAATTTCCTAAAGAGGCAATTTTTATCTCCCCAGTCATATCGGCTATTAAAGTTGGTCGATAAAACCTAAAAACCGGTTTATAAACAGGGTGTCAGTGGCTATTTTTATCAAACCATTTGATAACCTCCAAAATCTTTACAAACCAAGCCCTATCAATGTACCATCATTTGTCACCACGTCAGATCGGAACCCGAAACAACCGATCATCGCTCTCACGGCGTGACTCACCCACGCTTGACTGTCATGTCCGCCACGTTTTTCACCGACGATGTGCCTGATGAGCTCTGGCTCGAAATCGCCTCCAGTCTTCCGCGAGCACACCTCCAAACACTTCACCAGCTAGACAAGCGGTTAAGCCGGCTCACCCGCCCCTTGCTCTTCGCCGACCTCGCCTTTTCGCGGACGTTTTGCTCGTCGCCGACGCCGCCGATCTTGCCCGCGCGCCCGGCGTTCGACAGCGGGCAGAAGCGGCTGGACTTCTGGCTGTCGGATGATATTGCGCCGCTGGTTGAATCGTGCCACCTGACTGTTAGGGTACTGAGCGAGGACGAGCTCGCCACGCAGATGCCGGTCGGTGCGGACTGTGTCCTTCCCACGGCAACCGACCTCCGCATCCTCTCTCGCCGACTCGTCGAAAACCTTTCCCACTTTGTCCGACTGCGGCGGGTGCAGGTCGACGATGAAACCTTGTCGATGGCCGCGATCATTGGCATACACGGCTTGCCACTGCTGGAGCAGTTGGACCTTACGGGGTGCAAGATTGAAGACGGCGCAATTAGCCTCGCCCTGGCAGTGACACGCGCGCCGCTCTCCTTCGTACAGCTGTCCGCGTTCCAGTCATTTGCCCCAGAGAAGGAGCGGTTCTGGAGCGCGTTTTTCAACGCTGACAGCCTCCGTGCTGTAACCCTGAACATCGACCTCGCTTTCTGGCTCCAGGATCCGCAAACGGCACCCATATTCCGGCGCACGACTAAGCTCACCTTACTCTACCTCGCGGCCGCGCCTGCTGCATCGCTGCCGCGCGTTCTCGCGAAGTCATTCCCCGCCCTGCAAGACCTCGGGCTCTTCCCTGCAGCCCTGGCGCCGCGGACTCGAGACGAGCCCGACCAGTGGGGCGGGGATCCCCATGACTCCTTGTGTCCCATTATCCGCACCGCGCTCCTTCCCATCGCTGGCCAACTGGTGCGCCTCCGTGGGTACTACAGCATCCTGCACCACTTTTCCACGGACCCGTGGCGGGTGAGCCACCTCGGTCTGTCCCCGCACCTCTTCCGCGCGCTCGCCGACCTCATCGAGGACCTCGACCCCTGCGCGACGCTCACGCATCTCTCGCTCAGCATCTTCGATGTCGACACGGAGAGTCTGAACGCGACCCTACGGCTCTATCCGCGGCTGGAGGCGCTCTACCTGCATGGCCTGAATCTTCCAATGGTAAGTAAATCCTCATCCAGCCATACCATGACGATAGCCGTTGACCGAATGTCCAGCGAATGTCGATCTGGACAGAACTGGCCTCGGACCTCACTCTGCCGCCGACGCTGCGCTCACTGCTCGTCAATACGAAGCGCTGGCGGGCCAACGGTCACATGCCTGGAGACGTAACACAGGCCGTCGCCCCAGCGAACGACGCTGACGCGTCTGCGCTACTCCATGCATTTGTTGAGCGATATCCGCAGCTCGCGCGCCTCTGGATCCGCGGACGGGACTTTTTCATCATGCGCAGCGGCGCGGAGCAAGGGGCTGACGCGCGCGTCGTGGCCGTGGGCGACGATGTTGATGCGGTTAGCAACAAGTACATCGACTTGTGGAATCGGCGGGCAGAGTTCATCTAGAGCACAAGCAACCAGCGATATGAATACCCGAGTATCACTTGTCGCGAGCAGCCGTTTTGTTCTTCAGTGGCCCTACGTCACCCATCAGCACATCAAATGATCGGATATTTGTTCCCCCATGCGGGCAACATGCGGTTGCCACGTCAGCCACGGCCATCACACAGCCCCGTTGCTTTTCCCTGCATCTCCACCACCGCTCCCAGGCGATCCCGTCGACGCTGCAGATGCGGCTGCCGCCCGCTGCATATATAGCCGTCCCCCGTTTACCCGCGCATGACGCGTACACACCCCGCTGCAAGCAGTTGATCTGGGTACTAGCATGGGCTGAGCAGCCTGAGCCGTCCGCTGAGCGACGAACGTCCCGACGGCACGCGTACGACGACGCGTCGTCGGGTGTCAAACGGCCTGCCCTGAGCTAAGGACCACAGAATCGGCCTCTATCGAATCTACGGTATCCAGCTGCAGTAATCGCCACGTTGACAACACGTACCAGCACGGTGGCTGGCAGCACCCAGGCTCCCCCGAAGCCCAGAGCCCGGCCAGGCTAAGCCCGCGACGCAGTAAATGGTGGATTCGGGCGGCACGGCATCAAATCAACTTCCGTCGATCCACGTGCTAAACTGGGGTCCGTTTTGCCGTCCCTCTATTTAACGCGCGTGGCTGCTCCGCTGGCTGTAAACTCCCCTACTAGACGCGATGGCTGCGCTGCTCCCGAGCGAAACGACGGTGTGCATTGTCGGCGCGGGGCCGAGTGGGCTCGCGTGTGCATTGGGGCTTGCGCTGCGGGGGGTACCGTTCGTTATCGTGGACGCGCTCGAGGCGGGTCACAATAGCTCACGCGCGGTGGTTATGCAGGCGAATGCGCTCGAGGTGCGTCTACTGACCTCTCCAATGACTCCCCGCACTGACTGATGGAGCAACTCCCCAGGCACTAGAGGCGATCAACCCGGCGCTTGCGGCTGCTATTGTCGCAGACGGCGTTGCGGCTGAGACTATCTCGATGATCAACGTCCATGAGAAGACAATTTTCGACATGCGCATGTCGGAAAATGCTTCAAGAACAAAGTACGGGTACTGCCTGCTCATCGGCCAACACCGGGTGGAGGAGCGGATGCGGGAGTGGCTCGGGCAGGCCGGGGTGGAGATTGCGTGGCGGAAGCGCGTAACGGCGGTCCGGGAGGATGGATCAAATTACGAACTCGCGTTTGAGTCGGGCGAGACACTCCGCGCGCGGTACATCGTCGCGGCTGACGGATCAAAGTCGTCTCTCCGCCAATTCGCGGGCATCCAGTTTCTCAACCCGTACACGAAGACCGAGGCCATTCCACGGCCAGGAGACCCGTCTTTCGTCGTCGCGGACGTTATCTTCCAGGAGCCCTTGCCGCCAAACGTGCCCCGTGACCGACTGCAGATGATGGTTGGCGGCGGTGGCGTTGTTTTGACCGCGCCAATGCTGTCACCCACTTCCAACGCCCTGTTCCGGCTCTACCTCGGCGTCCCCGCCAACCCTCCGTCGCACCCGGATGCCGCCTATCTGCAGGCCGTCCTCGACAAGCGCGGACCTGGCTCCCACTCAAAAGCCTATCCGGTGCCGAAAATCGTGTCGGTGCTCGACAGCTCGCGGTACCTCACCCGGCCCGCGCTAGCCGAGCGCTACGTGCACCGCGCGCCCGGCGGTGCGTACCTTCTCCTCGTCGGGGATGCGGCACACAAGCACGGCCCGACCGCCGGCCAGGGGATGAACATGGGCATCGTCGACGGCGCGGAGCTCGCCGGCGCCCTCGCATCACACATTGCACAGTCCGGGGAGAAGCCCGGGTCAGCAGACCCCGCGCATATATTGGACGCATACTCGACACGCCGCCGGAACGTCGCAAGACAGGTGATTGACATGGTAGAGACGATGGGGCGGGTGGAAGGCTCTGGCGCGGGGTGGACGTCTTCGCTCCGCGCGGCGGCCCTTTGGCTGCTCCTGAAGGTCTCCTTTGTGAACAGCGCGATCTCGTGGAAGATCGGTGGGCTCGGGCACTCGGCACAGATGCTCGGGAAGTAAAGGAGAGATCTGAGTTGATCTAGAGGCTGGATACCCACTAGACAGTTCATAGAAAATTTTGTAGCTTACCCTAACTTATCAAACTATATTTCTTGTTCAAAAGTTCCAAGGCAATTTATAAGCATGACCCCTTCATTGTTCTCGTCATCCTAGAGATTTCCTGCACGTCGATTCCAAAAGTGCATGTATTTCTCCCTGACAAATATTGTGGAGTGTCCAACAGATGCCACGTGCTTGCATCACAGCACTTAACAGGGCCCCGGTGAGAATTGCAAGGCAATGCAAGCAGGCTATCCTTATGACCTAGTACAAAGAAGAAATATGATCAATTGAATTGTAATAGCCTTTTCAATCAAATATAACATCAAAAGCAACTTCCTGTTCATTATTTGAACTATTCATTTATATTCAATCGACTTCATTGTGGAGCTCCCTGGACCTTGAGGCCCACGTTTGACAATTACGGTTCAGGCTGTTATGTTGAGACAGCCAAAAATAGGCCCTTTAAAAGGGTTGTCCATGCGTGGCAAAAAGAGGAGGAATGGGTAGCTGGGATTCAAGCTTAGCACAAGTGTCAATACCTGCGAATGTTTGGCGAATGTCACCACAGGTACCTGCAAGAAAACATCCGTGGGTTTGACCATCCGCAGATACAGGTATCCATTTCCCACGGATGCCAAGAGTACAGGTATGGCTCTGAAAGATCTTAATATTTATTATCTGACCAAGTCTTGAGTTGACTGGGCGGAAATTTCATTTGATCATGATTGTCACACCGAGCTTGTCACATCAAACCTCTTCTCTTCTCTGCCTCACCACCCCGCCCTCCTGGACATGCTCTGTGTCAGGAGTGGCAGCGGCGGTGGCTTCCAGATTTCCTATCTCTTCACCCCTTCTCCCCTAACATTTGCACCTAGGCGAAGATTATCCTTGTAGACAAAAAATCACCCTTCTCGACAAAAACAGACCACCACCCCGCCTTCCTGGATGCACTCTGCGTTGGGAGTGGCGGTAGTGATAGCTCTTTCATTCATCTTCCCCCCTTCCCCTTCCGCCTCAAGATGGACACTTGGGCAAAAAATCGTTACTACCTGTAAGGGCAACCCCGGAGGCCTGAGATCAAGGTCCTAGCAGGGGAGGATCCGAAGAGTGAACATTGGTAAGTGAATACAAATGAAGCTGACCTAGCAGGGGAGGATCCGAAGAGAAGAAACTCTAAGGGTCCGCCTGCTAGGTAGCTGACTATATACTGCTTGTCCGTAGCTGCCGCTGTCGGGCACAGAAGGCTTGGGCGGCGTCGCAGGCGAGGTCCCAGGGCGACCGTCGGGAGGGCGTTGACGGATCGGTGATTGTGCGGGCGAGATGGAGGGCCGGACTGGAGTCGGAACCGGAGTCGGACCGGAATCGGGCGCGTCTCCGGGCCGAAAGGGAGGTTCCCCTGACATCACCCCCCCCTTTGAATGCGGCGTCTCGACGCATAGACTGGAACGGAATCGAGTCGAAGGTCGCGGAGGCGATGTGTCGTGGCTTGCCGGGGTACTTACGATAGAACTCCGCAATTTTCTCCGGGGCAAAGACGCGGTCGAAGCGGACCCATTGGTCGTGCGATGCGTCGTAGCCTTTCCATCTGACGAAGTAGTTCAGCCGTTTATACCTCACCCTTGCGTCCAGGATTTCCTCTACTTCCCACTCCGGGACTCCGTCCTCGAGGTCCGGAGGGGCTGGTCGTAGCCGGGGCGTCCGTCGAAGGGGTCGTCCTGGGCGAGCTCGAGCTTGACGACGGGGAAGACCAGGTGGAGCTTCGAGTAGCGCGGAGGGAGGTCGAGCTTGTAGGCACCTTTGCTGATCTCCGCGACTATCTTGAACGGTCCGAGGCGGCGATGGGAGAACTTTTCCGAGGGGCGAGTCGTCCTGATGTCAGAGGCATCCAGCCAAACACGGTCGCCAACCTTAAACTCCGGAGACGGAGTGCGTCTCCGGTCGTAGTAGCGCTTGTACTCCTCTTTGGCCTTAGTGAGGCGGCCTTGGCTTCAGCAACACCAGTGGCGATCCGGTCGCGGAACTCGTTCACCGACTCCATGGCGGAACGGACTCCGGGTTCGAAGCCCATGCGCGGGAGCCTTCCCGTGTCCGTCATGAAGGGACCTGCTGCGTGGAGGAGTGAACATGGTTGTTGTAGGCGAACTCCGCGGCCGGAATCAGCTCATCCCAGTCGTCCTGCTGGTAGTTGGTGAAGATCCGCAAGTACTGCTCCAGCTCCTGGTTGACGCGCTCTGTCTGACCGTCTGTCTGCGGGTGGTATGCGGTGGACGTGGCGGGCTTGATGCCGATTAGACGCCAAAGTTCCCGGGTGAAGTCCGCGATGAACTGCGAGCCGCGGTCGGAGACGTACTTCTCCGGAGTCCCATGGTGCCGCCAGACGTTCCGGTAGTAGAGGCGGGCTGCCCCTACTGCATCGACCGTCGTATGACACTCCGAGAAGTGGGGCGCTTTCCGAGGGTGTCAACGACGACCATGATCGCGTCGTACCCATGGGCTTCGGGAAGCTCTACGATGAAGTCGACGGAGACGGTATGCCAGCGTTCGGGGGCGTTTCCGTGGGGTGCAGTTCTCCGTGGGGCAGTCTCCGGAGTGCCTTGGTGCGACAGCACAAGTCACAGGTCGCAACATACCGGCCGATATGGCGAGACATCTGAGGCCACCAGTAGTTCCGGGAGACCAACTCCAGGGTCTTGAAACGACCTGCGTGTCCGGCGACTCGGGTGTCATGGCAGAGCTCGATGATGCGTCTCCGGGAGGTCCTTGTCCTTTGGTACGACGATCTTTCCTCGGAAATGGAGAAGACCGCCGGAGACGGCCCACTCGTCAGAACGTGAGGAGCGGGGGCCTCGAGCTTGACCTTGAACCTTAAGAAGTTGCCGGGCCGCTAGTGCGGCGGGCTCCTCCAGGTCAGGCTCACCGGAGAGGGCATCACGGATGTCGCGGAGGAGTTCAGAGCCGGGACCGGAAACGGAAACGCCCTCGAGTGCGCGGACGTTAATACACGGGGAAAGTGAACTAATAGAGGAGTTCAATCAAGACCTCAACCCTATTAATCTACTAATCCACTATTTGTTTGTGTATGTGTGTGTGTTCGGGGGTTCGAGTTGCAGGAAACAACTAACTGACTCAGAATATCCAAATATAGCAATAGAATCTGCTTATTGAGAACTTTCTACAGATCACTTTGTACTGTTGTTATGAAACACAGAAGAAGGAACAATTAAGCTCAACCTCTAAAGTGCTTCACAAAATGAACAAGAATATGTATCTGTTCTTGACACAAGATACTAACTCAATATGCAAACAAACTTGCTTCCTAGCCACTTGTTTCTTACTATAAAGTTTAAACAAGATCCCTTGCTTCCTTGTCCTTGCACTTAACCTAACTTGACTACTACCTTGCTACCTGGTTACCTGGTTGTCACACTTGTGACCTAGCTGCCTTGCTTACTTGCCAAATATGGTAATAAGTGGGGTGGGATTCGTTCCTCTCATCTACTACAATCGAGCTCCTTATATACTACTCAGAAATTAATTATGTAATGTGACAATTAAACCAATGATGTGACAAAAGAAGCACTATGACTCAGTTGGAGTCAGTATGACTCAGTTCGAGTCATTGTGGCTGTGCATTCTAGAATATTCTGGACAATCAATCTTCTATATTGGAATGTTCTATTCCCATAACCAATGGTTCTGGTTCAGGTCTAGGCCGGAGTTCTGTGGCTGTGCTGCTAGAGCGGTCCAGAGCTGGTATTCTTAGCATTTCTGGGTTCATCTAGGTCTCTAGACCTATCAGACTCATATAATTCTGCTATAACTTTGGAATGTTCTCAAGTATTTAGAGCATTCAAATCATAATATTTGCTCTGTTTGATCAGTTTCTAGATGTGCTCCATTTACAGGCTCATCATCTCCCTTTTTCATAAATATTGACCGTCCTCGGTCAACTGATCATACTTGTATTTGACTACATTTTTCATCAAAACCCAGCTACATTTTTCACTGGACATGGAATTACATTTTTCAGTAATACCATGGATGAACATTCCAAGGTTACTTTCAGAAGTCTAGTGAATTTAATTATCCACCACTTATGTCTGACACCTAGTCATTATTTTGCTGAACACTACTGTGGTTGTCTAACAATATTGGGATTATCACTATATATTTCCCAGAATTTTCCACAATTTTATGGCTTGCCATCTAATTTTTCTGAATATTCCCAGCAGTATTCCATCCCATATCACCTTCTTTGTAGTTATCCTGCGCGATGATATGTTATTTACATCAATCGGTCTTTGTCCGAAGCTGTTCTGCTTTGGTCTTGCACTTCTGCAGCATATATCATTGATATCCTCTTATAACGGAGTCTTATCCTAATAAGATTGTTCTTATCGGTCATAATCAGTTGCCGATCATAGACCTCTCATGTTTGTTTGTCCTCAATCGCATTTAGCAGCTCTCGAAAATCTTATCTGACGGTCGGCGATTTCGGTCCATTTCGGCGGTCGGGATCTTCGGTCGGAATCGGTCCGTTCCCGATCACCGTTCTCACGCGCTACCTTAACCACCATCTACGCTGCTTCAGTCAGCTCCTCTCCGGTCCAACACCCTCGCGTTCGCAATCTAGACAACCTGGACGACTTCATCAAGCCCTGGGCAACGCTGGCTTCCAGCCTTTCAGTCTATCTCGCGACTTCCGCGGGGCTGTGTCGGCGACGCGTCATCGCTCGACGCTGGTGCTTCTTTCGCGTCTCGCGCTCCGTTTCGCGTTTCTTCGACGGCGGGATGCTGACGGAAACACATTGGAGTGTTTCCCAGGTCCGGGATTATCGTGTTGGACAGGGTGAAGCACTGGTATGGGGTTCCATGCAGAGGGACCAGCGAGATACTCTCGGGTGAGTGCTCCTTTTCAGTTCTTTATGAATCTAGTCGGTCTCCTTTGCTTTCGCACC